TGACCTGGAGCCCTGACTGCTGAAATCGGCCGGCACCTTCTCGCCCAGGGGCGGTTTCACCAGCGGAGGATCATTAGGCAGGAAGCCTCCTCGTAGAAGCTTCTGGATTCGGGAAAGCGCCAACGATGCGAAACCGCCTTCTGCGTTTGCGGAACGTTCCGGTCTACAGATAGTCGTCAGATCAAGCACTCACAGGATGGAGTGAGGAAGTGCCCTGAAATTGATTAAATGTTGCAGGAGGAGAAGGGAAAAAAAAATAGAAGAATGTAGCCGAAAACGGCCGCGTCAGCAGTCATAACTCAGGCTTGCATTCCTTCGCCCGGAAGGTGTCCTGGGAATTCTTTGGACATTGGACACGCATTTCTAAAGCATTTGCAATTGAGTTCCTAAAATGCAGCTCGACTTATTTTCCAAGAATGATCTGGCAGCCACACAAAGCCAAGGAAACGTGCTCTGGTCGAGTGCTCTGTCGGTCACTTCATCCGGACCCCAGGGCTCCGAAGATGTTCCTTGTTCGGAAGGTGGGCGCCGCTCGTGTCCCTGTCCCCTAGGGCCAGGCACTGAGAGTCTGGAAACCGCTCAGCTCTAACCGGGAGGGGCCTGGAGGCGTGCGCGGACATTGCGTCTCGATGCTCCAAAACACTCTTAATTTATCGGGGATGATAGCATCTTACGTATGTGGAGAACTGTGCAACCTCTAAAATATTTTCCCGTCTCTTTTCCCCTTGGTTAACTTCAGTTCTTATGCCAACATTGGAGAGTGGGTGGGTGAGGGCGGCTTATCTCCATTTACAGATTCCAGAGGGAAGCGTGAATTAAATACCCTTTTATTCCATAAATATGCCCGATGGTCTTACATCTGACAGTATCGAGTACTCCTGAGGACGCGTGGCAACTGACATGCCGCTGCTGGTGGTGGGAAACCTTGGAGAAGGGTTTGGCGTCACCTAGTAAATCTGAAATGACTCTACCCTAGGACCCAGCTGTTCTAACCCTAGAACAGACCCCAGAGAAGTGCTTGCACGTGCGCCCGGCAGTTACGTCGAAGGATGTTCACAACATGATGTTCACAACAGCCAATGACTGGAAACAGCCAGGAGCCCCCCAGGACCGACGGATTAACATGTTGCAGCGTCAGGCGTGGCTCGCACGGCAGAGCCTCAGGGACCTACACCGGGAGCACAACACATCCGAACGATGCCACTTCTGAAAAGAGGCAAAGCCAGGCCAAGCGTAAGAGGTGTTTTGGGGGATAGAACCATAGGGGATACAGCCTTGAAGAAGTTCAAGAACGTGCTTCACACAATCCTCAGGGCAGAGGCTGTGCCCTGAGGAGGGGAGGAAGAGGATGGTCTGGGGGGAGGGGCACACAGAGGACTTGGAAAGTAATCGCATGGTTGTTCCTTAACAGGGGCGATGGCTCAATATATTGTCACCCTTTAAGAAAAAAATGTATTGCTTAGTCCATATTTAATAAATACACATTAAAATGAATAGCATTCACATAAAACATCAAAGACTAATTCCAAAGGCAGTTTGAAAACTAATCCCATGGCCTGGCCAGGGGGCTCAGATGCTTGGAGCATCGAACAGGTTCCAGGTTCGATTCCCGGTCAGGACACATACCTAGGTTGTGGGTTCAGTCCCTGGTCAAGGTGTGTACAGGAGGCAACTAATAGATGTTTCTCTCTCACATGGATGTTTCTCTCTCTCTCTCTCTCTCTCTCTCTCTCTCAAATCCTGGAACCTATCCTGGGGTGAGGATTAAAAAATAATTTATACAAATAAAATAAAAAATAATCTATATCATAAAAGGCCTGTGGTCGTGATGCTGGAATGGTGTCACAGCCAAACAAGCAGCGGCTCTCATGGTGGGCGGGGCAGGACATGAGCTACTCAAGGCGGAGAGCTACTCCTGGTGGGGAGCTACTCCTGGTGGGGAGCTACTCCTGGCGGAGAGCTACTCCTGGTGGAAAGCTACTAGCAGCAGAGAGCTACTAGCAGCAGAGAGCTACGAGCAGCGATGGGCAGGGCAACCAGCTGAGGCAAGTGGAAATGAGCTACTCACTCACAATTTCATGCACGCTGGGCCTCTAGTTTATAAAAATAAAATAAAAACCAATCCCACTTATAATAGCAGCAAAAACGATAAGGTACCTGGGAATAAGTATAAGAAAATGTGTGCACAACTTCGTAGGGAAAATTATAAAACTTTCATAAAGGACATCAATGAGTTCCCCGTGTAAGCAGGCAGGCTATGTGTATGGGCCCCAAAGTAACATACATTCAGTCCACCCGGGACCATCCCAGCAGGATGGGTCTTGATATGCTTAGCCTAAAATTTATAGAAAAGTATAAAAGATCGATTAATCCTTTAAAAGAATTGGGGTGTGTGTGGAGGGGTGATTCCCCAGCAGGGATGGAGGCTGGTTATGCCACAGTAAGGCATTCAATGTGCTGGGGTGTGGATGCAGGGAAAAGAAATAGCCCGTGGAACAGAACCGGCGGCCCAGAAACACACCCACGGAAATCGGGCACGTGATG